GGATTCTTATTATCCTTGGTAACTTCCGGCGCTCGACGATCCCATCCAATTTGGTATCGAACCAACATCACGTTGATTCTGGTTGGAGAGTAGTGTAGTGGCATTGGACAATAGCCACACAATCCACAAAGCTGTGAACACGAGACTACTCAGAAAATAGATATTCAATATTTAACGCGGAGAAATACCTAACAATGGAGAAGGCGCGAACAATGAATTGAATGGACTGGAGTTGATCGAGTGGCATGGCTCGGCCATACAGGCGTGGTCTCTGCTGAATGTTACCTTATATCTTCTATTCATATTAAATATATTGTTCATTCTCTAGCCTAACCTTTTTCAACATCATGTATTGGTAATTGATACGATACAGTGAGTTGGTGTAGTCGATGGTGTGACTTGCACGTAAGATCTTATAGATTAGGCAGTTATATCATGACAAATCTACAAATTTAGGATTAGGTCTATTATTAGAGCAGTACTAATATCATAGTAGACAATAGTTCTACAGTCTCATTGGTTTTATAATGAAAAACTTTTTCACAACTTAGTGTAAACTTACTCTCTACAAAATACGTGTTCGACCCTCCCTTGAATACTGCTCTTTTGTCTTCTCTAATATGAATATCGCAGACAAGATAAGAATGGAAGATGTTCAAAGACGTTTCACACGTCAACTACTAGGATGTAACTCGAATCTCGATTACACAGACAGATGTAAGCATCTATCTTCAGAACCTTTATGGCACCGTAGGCTAAAACACAATTTAATATTTCTCTACAAAGCGATATGTAGGCTCTCCTTTCTAACCTTCTGCCCGACTATCACCCACGACCCAGCCTATAGACTTAGAAACAACGCATATACACTACTTACCGTAAAACACCAAAAACAAATGCGTTGTAAGTTTTTTACAGTACGGTATAGTTTATTGTGGAACAGGCTGCCAATGCCTATCCGTAACTGTGACACGTTTACCAGATTCAAAAAGCTAATAACCCTATTTCTAGACTCTAAAGAGCTTTAACATTTCCTTGAACTCCCGCCCACCAATGAGGCACTTTATGACGGACCGCCTAGTATCTAGACAGAACAAGAATATAACTAGCCCGACTGTTATTAATATGAATATGACCAAATCACAGAATATATGGCTTATCCTTTTCTATTATTCATTGTTTATTAATCATGACCTTATGCTAATAACCCTAGCTTTCAGTTCCCAAATCTCTACAGGTTAAATGTACATTATTCTTCTTAAAAGTCATGCCTTTTTTCTACTGCAAGTAGACAGATAGCTCAATCTTATGGATGCTGATCTACTAAGGCCGATCATACAAAGCTCAAAATTTGGCCACAAAGTCTTGTGAGTTTCTCAATGTTTTATTTGCCTTACCCTGAAATCTTTTTTTTCTTTTTTCTTTCTACAATTTTATACCCTCTCATATCTTTTGATTTGCTATTAGTCCTTACTTCTTTAAGCCATTAGTTATTTTCATAGCAGTGTGATATACTATATGGACATCTAATCAAAAAAAGAACTTTTCAACTATCTGATTTGCTTGTAACATGGACCTAGTAGAGACAGTGTATTCCAACTATGGGCTTTGATTAAAGCAGTATTCATACTTACCACAAACGTAAGAGAGCCTAACATCACAAAAGGAGGGAGGGTGGCGTTACTGACCAGCAAACATGATGGTGGGGAGATAAATTCAATCCACCCATGTCTGTAGGGCAGAACATTTTGTTTAATTACGGCTCCTTATGGTTTAGTGGGATGTCACGAACTTACGGTATTGATGCTGATTTATCACGCAAAATACCTCTTTAGGTCGTGTTACGAACGTTGAATTAGTTTCACTTCCTACCCAGAAATCCTATTACAAGGAAACCAGACAATTTGCTAATATACGAAGCCTACTCAAGAACCTACAATACCTGAAAAAAATTATAATACCAAAAACCGAGAGGGGCTCGAATAGCTTCGATAATAAAAGGAAGACAGCCAATTGTATATCACAATACTGTTTCTAGCACTATATTTTATTTTATAATCACACATAATCCCATACTCTCAGCTTCTTTCCGAATCGCCTCCATTTGTCAGTCTTCAGTAATAAGTATAGGAGGTCTGTCGACCTATATTAATCCTTGCAGTTTGTAATACTGTGGAGGTCCAATCTCGTTTTGAATATATTAACAGACGGTGCTGATATTACGTGTTCCGGTAGGGAATTCCAGTAATTGACTACTCGGTGCGAGAAACGGAACTCCAGACGTAAACGGTTTGATCTCGGTTTTTGAACTTTCTTCGAATGTCCTCTCAAATGATCGGTTCTAGGCGGAAGCAAAAGATAAGACATGTTAATACCAAGGTCATCGTTCAGTATACGATAAGCCAATATTAGATCACCCCGGACTCTACGGTGAGATAACGGAAATAAGTTAAGGTGTCTCAGTCTGTCTTCATAAGATAGGCCAGCTAGACCTTGTACCATCTTAGTAGCTCGTCGTTGGACTCTTCCTAGCATATCTGCTTCATATTTGAAACAAGGACTCGCTGCTTGAATCCCGTATTCTAAATGTGGTCGCACATAAATCGGGTATAGCAATCCAAACATTTCATCATCTAAATACTGAAAAGACCTACGAATTGACCATAATACCCTATAGCCTTTTGCAGCAGCAGCCTTACAGTGACTAGTCGTTTTGAGATCATTGCTTAATATAACTCCTAAGTCTTTATAGTTTCTTGCTTTGGGTAGCACGAATCCACGTAGTGTATAGTCATACGATTCATCAGAGTTATTTAACTGCATCACTACACTCTTATTAGGATTTACTTCTAGTGACCACCTGTCTAACCATGCCACCAATGAGCTAAGATCGTTCTGTAATACTATTCTATCCGACATACTATGTATGGGTCTCCAAACCTTTATGTCATCAGCGAAGAGTAGAACGGATGATTTTGCTACAGTTGGCAATTCATTTACATAAAGTAAAAAGAGAAGAGGACCTAGGATTGTGCCTTGGGGAACCCCACTTTTTACAGGTACCCACGAGGAGAGAGCACCATTAACCCTTACCCTTTGTCTCCTGTCATGGAGAAAGTTACTTATCCAATCGACGACTGTGTTATGGATTCCAAAACGTTTCAGTTTGAATTTAAGACCAGAGTGTGAAACATTATCAAAGGCTTTACTTAGATCTATGAAAATTACATCCACAGGAGCATTCCGATCCTTTGCCGCAGCCCACTCTTCTCGTGCAATGAGAAGATTTGTCAAGCAAGATAGGCCTTTCCAAAAACCATGTTGTGCCCTGGAGAAAAGATTTCGCCCTTCAACATAGTTTATAATAGCTATCCGAATGATTTTCTCCATCAGTTTCACAACTGCACTAGTTAAGCTAACGGGTCTATAGTTACTAACTAAATCCCTACTCCCAGCCTTATACACCGGACTTATTATGGCGTCTTTCCAGTCTCTAGGAAGTATGGACTGTCTCAGAGACATGTCGAATAGTATCGCTAATGGTTCGGCAATTTCATCTGATATGGCTTTCATAATCCTAGGATGAATATCATCGGGACCACTGGACTTATCAGGTTTGAGATGCTGAAGTAGCCTTAAAACAGTATCTTTCTCAATGACTACAGGATCCATCAGCGAGCCGTCACGGTCACGATGAATCATTGGTCGTTCCTCATTACCGATAGAAAACACTTTACTAAGATATTCCGATAAAGCTTCAGCTTTTTCGGCATCATTCTCTGCTAAGATTAACGGATTGTCTCGTACCAAATGTGATGGAATTCCATCGCTTCTCTTAGTTCGCCTTTTTATATACGAGAATAACCGTTTCGGACTATATCTAGAATCCCTAACCAATTGTTTTTCGTATGATAGTCTAGTCTTGCTTATTAACGCTTTACAGGCATTCCTAATCTTACAATAACTGGATCTGTATTGTTCTAAGCCAGTAGAGATGAACATATTCCAGTGATTCTTCCTTTTTCTAAGGAGTTTCCTGACCGTTTTAGTTATCCATGGTGGACTATTATTCGGTGTTCGCGGTACCAGGTATGGTATGAACGGGGACGTAACTAGTCTAAATTTACCTTTAAATACAGACCATGCTTCTTCAACTGATATGCTAGTATCTACTAACCAATCTGTCTTAGCAGCGCATTCCTGAATGGCTGATATGTTAACTTTCCATACATTTGGGCGCGGTGTAACCTGATCGTATAACATGTCCCTAGTTCTTAACGCGAATGACAAAACAGCGTGATCGCTGTTTACTAACGGTGGAAGAATATTTAAGTCGACAATATCCTCAGTCTCATGAGTGATTACCAAATCCAGCAGAGAAGAACCCTGATTAACACCAAAACGTGTGGGTTGGGATACATGTTGCACTGGTGCATGCTCCATTATTGTTATCAGTAACCTACTATCAAAGGAGTTTATAGATCCTTCTGTGGTCATATCAGTCCAACTAATATCAGGTGCGTTAAAGTCTCCTATTATCAAGCACCTGGTATTATCACTCCAAAGATGAATGTGCTGTAAAACAAAGTCATCAGCTGAGCAGATTGGGCTCCGATAGATGACACCTAGCATAAATGTACCACATCCTATAGCCAACTTACAGCTAATGACTTCACAAGTGCCGCTATCATGGGATTCGCTAGTAGAGGAGCGGATATTTATGCCATTGGCTATATATAACAGGACGCCGCCTCCTTTTCTACATCTATGTCTATCACTCCTGATGCAATGGTACCCTGATAATTCTGGAGTAATGTCTAAGTCATGGACTAACCAAGTTTCTGTCACTGCTACTATGAGTGGCCTTAACCTGTCTACTAGTGCTTCTAGTTCATAGAACTTATTTCGTAAACTGCGAGCGTTGGCATATAAAACTCCTAAGTAGAACAGCCTATCCACACAGGCCTTGGTAGCATTCGCTTCCAAGACCTGACTATCCGAAAACCCACTAACCGGAGATTTTCCTCGCCGTTTTGCCGACGGGTTTCAAGTTCAGCTAGTGCTTTCTTCCTTTTTATTCTATCTTCGAGAGACATGTCAGGTCTAACTCGGATGTCAGAATTGTCGTGACAACGAGCGCTACTTAACAAGAGATCCCGTTGCTTCTCCGATCCTAGGATTACCTTAAGGAGTCTGCATGGACAGGGTTCAACATTGTCCTCGGTCCTCTTGCCTATTCTTACCAACTTTTTGACCTGAACTCCTTTGGAGTTATCTGGTAAAATACTACGAATGTATTCTCCTAGCTTTTCTAAGTCATGCGCGTGTCTAATTTTCGGATCAGGGTCGTTTGACTCCCGCAATTTGCTCACAATAATATTCGATGTTATTAGATTTTTCTTCTCAGTCACGCCAGGATGGGTTCCACTCTTACCTTCAGATTTTGGTAGTGCAATTTGTGGCTCACAATTTGAGTCCACCAGTGAGTTACTAACTACCTGTGTACTGCTTACAGCTTTTTTCTTTTCGGTTCGTTTCCTACGTACCGTATTCCATTTTTCATCCCTCATAACACTGGGACTATTTGGAAGGGTGACTGTTTTATCCAGATCTTCGGTTCCCATTAAAGGTGCATTATTAACAATGTCAGTACCAGGTGGTACTACTCCCCCTGTTAATGTCAACGAAGATTCCACTTTTACGTCAGTCAGAGTCGGTTGTTTGAGGCGTCGCGTAACAGCAGGTACTACACTGACACATTCGTCGCTGTCAGTGCTCGTGTTGTCGGCGCATATGCCATCCTTCTTTTTACAGGCCAAGGCCAACAGGCTCATAGCCTCCTGTATTAGTAGTACCTTGTTGGCACAGCAAAACATGCAAAGCCAATGTGAGTTAGGCTTCGAGCATCTTTTGTATGCGGTGGGACTTAAGCGGGTGCACATTTTGTGGAACCACTTATGGCATTCGTCACACTGCATCCCCTCTTCCACAGGGAACAAACAGTTTGGTTGCCCACATTTGTGGGTCTTACCAACCATTGTGATTCGATTTAAAAGGTTTAAAAACAAAAATGATAACAATGTGAATACAGGTGTTAGTCAAGGACTAAAAACAGGTATGTCCACTCACATCTTGTTAACACTTATTTTCTTTAACTTATTAAAATGCTCTTTCTTAACAAATACCTTAATAAAAGAAAATTAGACTGAGTAATCATACCTTAAACATTCCTTCATGAATATTGGCTACTCTGCCCCTCGTGTTTTCTTTTACTCGCTCCCTCTTTCAGCCCCCTTGTGATATGGAACGAAAGATTTTATCCTGCACCATCCTCAAAGCCTTAGACATTCCAAAGGGACATAAGGTTGCGACATTTAGAAGCTCCCACCTTCAATGGACCTATCCTTGACCATCGGTTGCACATTCGCAACACAACTTTCATGAAGCGCGCTAACTGTGATACTGACTAAAACCATCTACATTCATATCTTATAAATTATCAACCCAGCTATGTAATTTACTACAGTGGATATTGTATCATTTGTATCAATTTGATCTTGCCTGTAAACTGGAATGCCTCATGTAACAAACTGTTATTTGAGAATAAATTATTATTACTATTATTATTATTAAGTCAGACTATTTCGGAAAAAGACGACACCCTCATCTGCTCTCAGTCCAGACGTTTAGAACGATGGGCGGAACATTTCAGAGAACAGTTCAGCTGTCCTTCAGCTACTCTACAACTACCCTCCATTCCCAGACGGTGTGAGTGGAACATTGAAGTAGGTCCTCCAACTCTAGCAGAAGTTCAAAAGGCTATAGTTAATCTGAAACGAGGAAGGGCAGCTGGTCCAGATGGATTGACTCCAGAGGTCTTTAAGGATGGTGGTCCAACTTTAGCGATTAGGTTGACTAATATTTTAGCTAAGATCTGGGAATTAGACTTTATCCCATCTGACTGGTCGCAATCACTTATCGTCCCAATATATAAGAGAGGGTTAAAATCATCCTGTGACAACCATAGGGGGATTAGTTTAACTAATATAGTATCTAAAATACTAGCCTCGATAATTATCAGACGCCTAACTAAGACTCGTAAACTGCAAACACGAGAGAATCAAGTTGGCTTCAGACCTGGTCGTGGCTGCATCGACCACATATTCACCATTCGTCAGGTTCTAGAACATAGGCATACTTATCGGCGTCCGACATTGGTGGTCTTTCTTGACTTAAAAATAGCATTTGACTCGTTAGACCGCGAGATTCTGTGGCAGTGCCTGTCATTGAAAGGCCTACCTCAGAAGTACATAAACCTTGTGAAGGCTCTTTACTGGAACACCACTAGTCGAGTCAGAGCTTATGGCGAACTGTGATCTGCTTTTGCAACCTCAAGTGGTGTCCACTTTCTCCATTTTCGTTTAACTTCATCATAGACCTATTGATGGAAATAACATTCTCGTCTACTGAATCCTCGGGTATTGATCTCCTTCCAGGAGGTCCACTTATCGACTTAGAATACGCAGATGATATAGTCCTGTTTGGTGAAGACGCTGATAAAATGCAGAGTCTTTTGGTAGCACTAAGCAACAATGCCAGAATGTTTGGGATGCGCTTCTCTCTCTCTAAATGCAAGTTGTTGCTTCAGGACTGGTCTGTGTCAACACCTGAACTAAGGATAGGGAGTGAAGTAGTCGAACGCGTTGACAGCTTCGCTTACCTTGGAAGCCTGATCAGCCCTAATGGGTTGGTGTCTGACGAAATTTCAGCACGGATTCGAAAAGCTCGCTTGGCTTTTGCCAACTTACGTCACCTATGGCGAAGGCGAGATATCCGTCTACCAATAAAAGGACGAGTATATCGCGCAATGCTAACCGGTGTTGGGGGTGGTTGGAAGAAAGTTAGAGGCGGCCAAACCAAAACGTGGCACCAGTGCTTGAAGTCACTAACTTCTAGTCTGGGCCATGTTGGTAGATGCAGACCACTTGGTTGGGGTCCACGTGACTATCGTAACCAATGGTTGGAGACTCTTGGTGACATGGCTCAGAATCGATCACAATGGCGTAGGTGTATACACTCTCTGTCTTCCTTCAAACTAAGAGATCAAAATGACTTCATATCTTTCTTTCTACGAACTAATCCTTTCTTCCTTGTACTATGTCCTTATATGCAATCTCCCTTTTATATATTACCACCTGTGAATTAACTGCTTTTATGAATCCGGTGTCCATCTTGTTGTGTTAATGAGGTATGGCAACTTGGACCGATGCACATATGTGCCTGGCCCTACGTTGTAGCTGACTGAGCGCCCAGCAGTAGGGGATATCAGTATTGTTTTCTGAAGGACCCAGACTTCCGACAACCATAGACGAAGTCACAGATGCTACCAATCTATTGCAGAGGGTTTGTTATAAAAAATATGCCATATAGCAGTAATAGAGGGGTTGTACTCATTACGTCGTGCGTTAAAGCAAGCTTAACATTGAAAATCTGCTATCGGTGTGTAGTGTATGTTTGCTGTTTTGGCCATAAAAGGAAGCTGAAGGGTCATGATCAGGGAGCAAAAAGTTAATTAACTGGTATTAAGCTCACTTTTTTATAGATCATATTTCACCACTCGCGAATTTGTGTTTGTTCTTACGGTATGATGTCAACCGGCACCTAATATGTTCTCCCTTACGATGCGAAGTACCTGCAAATTCTCACCTTCATATTCAAATTATTTTTGGACAACTGTCCTCCAGTTTGAGTGCTTCTTACGCCCTGGGAGTCTAGATTCCTACATTATTCGTATTTCCAGTGTAACTTTCCCACGCAGTAAGTTCGAAGTAGACAATAATCTTTCTAAATAAGCCTGTTAAGCTAATATCCGTATTCTCTATTTCAGTTAATCGATGAAGACATATACCACGTGCATCTGTTGTATACTGCCACTTTATTCTAATTCTAACTGTTATGTCTTCAGAAACATAAAATTGCTATATGCAGCAAATACAAACTTATTTGTTTTGATTAAGATAGGGGGGTTCACGGGATTTTTAGCAGAGCTGTAGTAATATTCTCACTAAAGAGCCAAGCGAGTGCGTAGACTAATGTAAGGCACCATACAGGGTGCTTTTGAGTTACTAGCGTTCCATTAGTGCGGGTAGGGGCATTGCTTAACAATCATATGGCATTTGAATAAGGAGCTATGAGATTAGATGCAAGTACGGTTAGGATATATAACGCGTGTGCATCCATCAGCCTCCGTGACAACTCATGGTGGTTCGAATAAGTTATGAGAGGACCCGAGTCTGTAGGTTTCCTAAGAAAATGACGAAGATATGTACTAAATCACTTAAATTTACTACATATGAACTAGGTGCTGCGAGGCTCGTGTATCGCAAGTGTCTTGCAACGATTAAGTAGGTAAAACAAAGTAGCATTACATCTAAAAATTTATTCGGGAACTTTCATTAAGAATCGAATATCAAACAAAGGTTGAAACGAAGTTGCCGTTTAAAAGTTGCATTGGTAATGTTAAGCTGAAGTCTTTGTTGTTGTTTTTCCAAACGAAAGGGTAAAAGAAGTAACTCAAAAAGTACTGGAAGTGGTTGTGAGGCTAAAATGGAAGTCCAGCATCCTTTTTATAATCTGCTGTTAGTTGGGTCTCCCGTAAAGTTTCATAGGGCCATAGTTCTAGGGGCGAAACAGTTCTTAGGATCTGTGAAGGCTCACTCCTGTTGCATTCTAAATGAAACAAAGTAATGAATTTAGTCAGAAATGTGGAATAGATCAGTAACCAAATTACATGGTTTTTAGCAAACAATTTGTGCAGTTGTGATTTGCCTTGAGTTCATGAATATTAGATCAGGTCAGCTACTATTACTTGTGCAAAGCATCACATGGGCTTAGTGCCGCATCGCAATGCTTTTATTATTTTGCTCCCATTTAAGTATTTCCATGCATCTGCGTCTAGTTCAACAGGAAGACATACAAGCAGAGTTAGTGTCTGATAAACTAAAAGTCCCGGTTGTCAAAAGGATTCTTAACACTTATCCACAGCCAGTTACATTTAATTGAGACACAGAACACTCATTTTTTAAGACTGTATACTGCTGTTTTGGGGGCAACTAAAAGCTCAGCTATCCTGCTATCGATGTTATTGCTGAGGAAATTGTTTAATGACAGTGATCTTAAAATATGGTCAGTGATAGATATACAGTCCCACGGAAGGCAAATATCAGAAGGCAGTTAATGGACCAAGTCGAGATATATTCACTGGCGATCTCGTGGTATCGAAAGGATACCGAGATCGTGCCAGGATACAAGTTTGCTTACAGAACGTAACCGAATTCGCGCGAAGTCACAATCAAAGAGTGTGAAAAATGGATGCTTTTCAGCAGAGTTAAACAAAAGCACATTAAAACAAACACTGGTAGAGTTGGTTAAAATAATAATAGTTTATATTAAACCAATCGTGTTCTCGTGATTAATGTGAGTCACTACAGGAGCCCCCCGCTAGAAAGGGTTTACACTTTCGATAAATGGCGGTTTAAATCGTGGGATCGATCGGCTGACGAGCGATTGTAGGACGGAAGAATTGGCGAACAGGAAAGCGATCGTTGATCGTCGAGTCGCCAAAGAAAGTTGTTTTCGGAGAACGGTACCAGGAGCGATATGCTGTATTTGTTGCTTGAGTTGACATGCCACACCAGAGTGGTTTGTATCTAGAATCTGAAGATTGCGTTCGTAGGGGTCCGGATCAGAAATGCTGCAGGCGTAGGACGAAACCACGTTGAGCCGTTGACCCAGAAGCGACCATAACGACCAAGTTCGAGACCAAGCGTATGCCAAACATTCGAAACCAATATATCGACTGAGTACGTTGACAAGAGCGTGGGTGATCAGGCCAGCTTTCGCCAAAGTTGACTGAAGTCGACGGTATCACACGGAGGTGGTCGAAGGCGTGGGCTCAGGAAACAAAAAGGAAATCAAAAAAAGAAGAGCGTAGAATGCATGAAGCACAGGAATAGTCCTACACCGTGTCGGTTGTTGA